AGAGAAGGGGCGCAGTTCCCAGCTCTGGGTGGCAGGGGGCGGGGCTTTACAGGGAAGGGGCGGGGCCTGACCGTGCAATTGTACTTGACGCAGTCGTCCCAGAAGCGGCTGGCTGAGAATTTCTTGCGGAGGACAACCGTCAACCCATAGATGAGGCACTGCCCCACGCCCATGATGTTCCCTGCAGAGGGTGGGCTCGGTGAGGGCTCGCCAGCCCGCCCCCACCCCCAAGGCCTGTCCCAGCCGGGCTGCCCCGCGGTACCTGCAGAGTGGTACAGCGGCAGGCAGTCGTACAGCACGTCCGCCGCCCGCATGCTGTAGGAGTGGTGGCCGAAGGCTGCGATGCGGTAGTACCTACAGGGACGGGCGGGAGGGCAGGGGCTGGGGCCTCAGTCCCCCAGGGACTGGGGGTGGGCAAGCATGCTGGACGCCGCCAGAGCTACCAGCTCAGGCTAGCTGGAGAGGAACGAGCGGCAAATAACTGACAGTCTAGGGATTTGGGTTGGAGGTTGAGGGTGACCCAGGGGAGACTGAGGGATACTGTCTGGGGAGGTGCCGGCCTGCCCCCAGATCCAGTGGGCCCGGGCTATGGGAATGAACTAGGGAAGCTGTCCAGACAGAGCACACAGCATGTGCAAAGGCCCTGCAGCTAGAAGAGCTGGGGGCCAAAGAGGAAGGAGTGAGGGATGAAGAGGCGGCAGACAACACCTAGGAAGTGCCAGGGCTGGCAGGACCAGAGAGTGGGGTTTATCCCAAGGCAGTGAGGGGAGCCAGGTGCAGGGAAGGTCTGATTTAGGGTTTTAACCCTCCTGCAGCCAATGAGGGGAGCAAAACTGGGGAGGGGGCGGCAGTCAGGGAAGCAGGAGGCTGAGCAGGGGCAGGTCCAGCAGAGCTGGGCAGAGCACTGAGAAAAGTGGACGAATGAGGAACAGGTCCCATGGACAGGCTGGATATGGGGAAGAGGTAGGCGGACTAGTGGGGTCCCAGGACAATGACACAAGGTGTCCTGAGATGGCCATGGGTTTCATTTAATTGGGGGTGTCTGTCCACAGACCCAGGGGGCATGCTGGGCCACTCTCGGGGGCTGGTGTGACAGCCACAGGCCCCTCACCTGCTGTGCACGACTATGGCGGCCTTGGGTAGCCCCGTGGTCCCCGACGTGTAGATGTAGAAGAGCCGATCTGCAGGAGAGGGGCGTTGGGTACTGGAGGCAGGGGGCAGGGCGGGGCAGGCTTCCAGGGACCCTCCTGCACTCACCGTCCATGCCCTTGCCAGGGGACTGTGCCAGGGGGTTGGTGGACGCCTCCTTCAGCATCGGGTCCAGGAGGTGAGTGTCAGGCAGGACGCCCTCGGGTCCCAAGTCTCCAGAGCAAAACTTGAGAAGGCTCTTCCCAAGCTGCCCGCTCACCTCGGCCACCGCTGAGGCCAAGACGAGCATCACGGCCACGGCCACGGCCAGACAGGCCCCCTCCCAAAGCCCAGGATGCGGTCTCTCTGCAGCAGGCGGCCG